TGGCATCTCTTGCAGGGTCGATAACCAGACTGCTGAGCTTCTTGCAAGCTGTCAAAGAAGACGATGTTTGCCCGCCTTGCAAGACGCCCAGGGCAGGTCGGTCGACAGTAGATGCGTGTAGAGTGAACCCCGTAAAGGAAAGCAGAGTTTGCCGCTGGGTCTCTGCGCTGAAGAGCGGCCCAGCGTTCTGAGGGAGTGGAAAAAAGTGCCGTCGTTGCTTGCATCGTAGTCGCACAGTCACAGCGTGGCACAAGGCCCCCCGCCCTCGGATGCCCGAAGGGAAATCGACAAAACGAAGGCAAAATATGTCTCCCTATTATAGTTGTGTTGATGTTGCTGAGTTGTAAGAAAGAGGGAAAATAAAAAACGCGGTGAGATGGAATGTCGTCACAATAGGCACTCTGAGGCGGCGGGAGGCCGCTTTGATAATCCGGAATGCGGGATTTTGATTCGCCACATTGAGATCAGCCCCGTAGCGCAACTGCCGCTCCCACCAGCACGACTCGTAATTATCATGTTTGTGGATGCGACATGTTATCTGTCTGGCACCAAAAGAACAATCAGCTCATTTTCCTGGTTCCGCGTCAAACCTGCATCTCAATTAGCTAAGCCCTCGACCCGTGGCCGAGTCCATGAGCAACATTGGCTCGCCTTATGCATGACATTCTTACACAATAACCTCGGCTTTGGTTCCCTATTCTGGCACTTGTTGATTTGCAAGCTGTTATAAGCGCAACTCGTTCTCGTCAAATTTTGAATACTACTATATTAGGGGAACGCTTTCGACCGTTCCGGGCGTCTCGAGCGCTTAGTCGACAGCCAACTCCACGAACCAAAATAAATCCCCAGTACGCCAATTCCAATCCATAAACACAATTCCGTCGAATAAACGATCATGCCAAGTACATCTATTCGAGGCTCGAATATGAGCGATAAAATGGACGTCAAATCCCCAGCCGCATCAATCGCGACGAACAGGAACGAAATTGCCCCGGTTGATTTGAACTTATAGATATCCCAATAGTAGCGAAGAACACCTAAAGCAAGAAGAATCGCGGCTAGAATCGCCATCAAAGTTAATGGCCACTCGAGGTCTCTTCGATGGGCAATTGCCAGTGCGAAATAAAGTCCAGCCTCGACACCTCCAATGACTGTCATTGCAATCCCAAATGCACCACTGACGATCATGCGATGCCATTTCGCACCATAATATTGGCATTGAGCCCATGCCACAAGGCTGAGAAAGATCAGAATTTGAGGTTGTACCTGCAGTGCGAGATTGAAGTGTTGTACAAGATTGTAGACGCCGAGTGGAATTCCGGCAATAGCCCAAAAGAGATACGACAAGTGGTTGATGCCTTCGGTGCTATGGCGGCGGTAGTTTTTGATGATTTGAGGTATAAGCTGAAGTATTGTCAGATTGATCAAGGTAGTTATTCGACTCCTCATTGAAATATCTACCTGGACAGACCAGCAGATTGCGCCAGCGGTCCCAAGTATATTTGCCGCTGTAGAATTGTCCATGTCTTGTACGTGTTCTTGGGCGCTTCTGGCGATATTTAGGTCTGTCTGTACCTGAACCGTCTGTCGTCTTGACTGCATACATTTAAAAAGAATCTCTCTAAGACACTCAAATGCAAGACTTAGTCGATGCTTGATATGAACGTTTGAGATGTCTTGTTAGCAGCTGATACCTTTCTGGCCAATCAGAAGCTACCAATCATGCCAAGACAAGTTTGATATCAGCTCTGCCTTATCAAAGGTAGAGGCTAGAGTCCTGGAGCATTACAGCAATGTGGCACCCTAGACATGAAATTTCTCACGATGCCATAGTGTAAAAAGTTAAACCATGAGTGGCGGAAGACCAACTGAGGGTCGATAGTGTGTTCTTTCCCACTGTCAGTGCGCTTAACTCGCGACGATGAATTCGGTTGTTCTACCCGTTGTCTTTCAAATAGCGATTGTATACGACATATTACCACTAGTAAGTACTATTATGTAGCTGATCTACAACAAATCCTGCTGGGACGCCGCGAAGTCGCGGATAGTCATAGGCGGCTCATTATCTCTCAATGCGGTCTCCCAAGTTCTGACAAAACGGAATCCAGTCTTCCTAAGAATGTTCTCACTGGCGGCATTTCCTTCGATAATTCCGGCGATTACAATCTCCTTTGTCCCTTCTCCGTCAGCCCCGATTGTTGATTTATCAACCTCGATTTCGTGATTAGCCCTTTCCAATGACCACCATGCCTGTAGAAATCCTCTGACGAATTCAGTTCCATAACCTTTCCCCCAAGTCTCTTTCAGAAATAGATAGCCTATAGTTGGCCACCCAAGCTCTCCGGCCATTCGAGGCACTCCGCCAATACCAATCATCTCTCCATTTGACCGCAAACAGATCGCGCCAGAGAAACTATCTTCTTGGACACCCAGACGCTCCGCCAGATATACTTGCGTCTCTTGTAGGCTCGAGTCAGGGACACCCTTTCTGGTCCAGATCATGACTTCTGGCTGAGACCTGAGGGCATGGAGTGCCTGGACATCAGACAAGATGAGCGGGCGGAGAAGAAGTCGCTCGGTTAGAATTGGAGACCGAGCCGCCAGAGGCGGAAGAATGGGCAGAGTTGTTTGGACAGTAGTCCGTGCATTCATGTCTAGCTATACCATCACGCATGACTATGAGTTTTCACACAACTTGAAGACTCCAATACACCAATGTGCCTCAGTTCCTTTATGTACCCTGCTCCGGGGTGTCTGCCTTCGGAAAGGCGCTGCGGGTATCGCCTAACTTAGCCGACTAAGCCGAATCATTTCCGGAAAATAATGCCGACTATGAGGGAAGTCATGTGAAGGTTTCCTGTTTCATTAAACGGTAACTTTCCGACAAATGTGCAATGTGCGACTATTAAAGAAATATACAAGCCGTCATCGACGGCAATCGGTTGTGGGAACTATGGGATCATTAACCTAATGAAATTCAAGCTCAATTGTACGATGACGCGTCTTCAGTCATGGAAAAGACTGTAAGGCGCTCTTCAGTTTGCTCTCGTCTCTAACGGTATTAAAGATTACTTGGAGTCCCCAAATACCACGACGGCTGTAAATTTTTGCGCGAGTGACCTGTATTTAGACAGATTTAAAACGGATACAAGTACCCTGATAACTTCATTAGTGGATATTGATCGGTCATTATATTTTCATGGATTATCAGTCGTCCAGTTTGGTGGCCATCGCAGCTTTTGTCGTGTATTTCTCCGTGCCTACGTGTCTTGTTGCTGCAACACTTGATTGTTCTGACAATCAGAGAGCAATGGTGTTATTTACAATACAACAGATACATCCTACAACATCATGTGCGGCGTGAACTTCGTTGGTGGCGATCTTGCTACGCAAACGACGACCTCTTTCGAAGCTTGTATAGCCTCCTGCGATGAAACGGCACTCTGTATAGATGTGTCCTATGTCCCAAGCCAGAACCTTTGCTATATTAAGAAGAACCTACAAATAGCTATCACCAACGCCTATGTCTAGACAGCCCAGAACCGCATCTATGAATCCGATACACATTTGACTTGCGATAACAATCGCTCAACAGGGACTGTTTACGATACTTCGAGTGGTAACTCATACGGAATATTGTGTGGTGTGAATTATACGGGAGGTGATATTGCGATGTCAAATCAGGATACACTTCTAGCCTGCCTTGAAACCTACAATATCACGTTGGGTTGTATCGGTGTCTCTTATGTTGCCCCCTATTGCTATCTCAAGAGCTCAGGCGCTCCCGCTGTGGCAGCACAAAACTTGTGGGCAGCCATGGCTGTCCAGTCCACGGGTTGCACATAACAGACTGTCAACGGTATTGAACAGTGTCGAGCCGAAGATTGACATGTACACCGTAATCAGTGGTGTGGCAACTCGGTTATATATATCAGCGGGTATTTATTGAATATCGATGAACTGATGGGCCGCTAATCATGGTGATATCCTGATTCGACTTTTCGCATCGGCTTCCAGTGGCCAACGCTCAATCTCGTATATGAAATTTAAAGACAACTTGCCTTATCTGGACCGACCATGGCTTTTGATTTCAAGACATTCTTAGATAACACTTTGCACATGCCCCAAAAGTTTGCGGCCTGTCGCTTGCAAAAGCCTGATGCTATTTACGGAGGAAAAATCTTATGTAGGTGTGCAAGCACCCCAAATCTCTTTTGCATGATCCATATAGTTCAATGAACTTTCCATTACCTAATTATATGCTCGTACGCGCTCTACAGCTTGTCACACAGAAAGAACATGCATTTATGACGAGAATGAATACTAACTCTTAGTGATGCTCATGGATCATTGTAATTACGAATTCTTGTCGTCTTGTAGGAGTCGGCAATGGTTTTTCAAAACACTGACGCCACTTTGCACCAGACATAGAAGGAATGCTAGGAAAGTCCAGATTGATCGGAAATTGTGGGATAGGTTCCGAGAATATGAGATCGAGAAATATGTACCACGTGAATCCCGGAGTCGTGTTCTCCATTACTGCATTCAGCCGGATTGCGACTTTGTAATAAGAGGCGGCATTATCGCATAGCAATCTGGCTATCGGTCTCTGCGACAATGCATACAAGTGACATACCTAAGAATAGGTATCTGGACACTTAAAAGCAGAAAACAGAATAACCTTGGCTATTTATTGCCCTGCTCTCCGTAGCTCTCTCTCCGCAGGAACATGTCCCGTTTGCGACCCGGTTCGAGGATCATATTGCGACCAAACTCCCACTTCCCAGGATGATCGACAGATTGCAATATCGACCATGCAGCAGGCTCATTAATATCCATGATCCTGGAGCCGCGTGCCACTCTCCATGATAAGGAAGCAGAATTCATGTATATCACTCGAGTGAAGGGGAGTTCCTGCCAAGCTTCCCAATGCCGTCGTTCCTGCGTCTTTCAATCTCCCCGCCTGGCCAGTCGCTGCAGCTGCGCAGCCGATACTCACAATGCGGCTCCCTTCAAGCGCTCAAGTGCTGCTGCTTGCGCTTCAGGTCCTCGTTTGTGAAAGCGCGCCCAATTGCCCCTTCATAGGACCTGCATTTCCTAAGCCAACGGCTCTAGCCAGCAGCACCTCCTTCCAGGCCGCACTCGCCAATCTGACAACGACATTCACGGCTCGCGACCTAGACCCGGACACGAATCCCAACTCAACGAGTTACTCGTTAGAAATCTTTGCAGCTTACAATGACAAGCCAATCTGGTCGTGGTATCACACCGCGCCGGAGCTTATTGCTGCCAATACGAGCGGTGTGAAGACAGTTGACTCGAACACCGTCTACCGCTTAGGCAGCGTGACCAAGATCTTCACCATCTACACGTTCTTGGTGGAAGCTGGGGATGTCCATTGGAACGAGCCAGTGACGAGCTTTGTGCCGGAGCTGAAGTCGATGGCTGACAAGGCCGCCGATGACCCGGTTATGAATGTCGATTGGGGTTCGATTACGCTTGGTGGCCTCGCTAGTCAAATGGCTGGTATTACTCGGGACTGTAAGAGAACATGATTAATCTGTCAACTCGTGGAAATTCCGCTAAGACAAATGTAGATGGTATACTTGGGGAGCTAACTCAGGAGGTTACCGAGGGCAATCTTACTCTGCTGGGCTTCCCGCCAGTTCCAGACTCGGATATACCAACTTGTGGGGAGTGGCCGCTGTGCAATCGCACCGGTATGTGATTTGGCGTGGCATATGCGTCTGATAGTTTCATTGATAAGGTGTAGAATTCTTCGATGGTTTGAGCAAGGTGCCTCCCTCATTTGCACCTTGGCAGACTCCAGCATATTCCGATGTAGCGTTCCAAATTCTGGCTTATGCTCTGGAGAGTATCGTAGGGAAGGACTACGACAACATGCTCCAGGACGACATTTTGAGTAAACTTGGGCTCAATCACACATACTACCAGAAACCGCCCGACTCGGTAGGCGCAGTTCCTAATGGCACGAAGACGACCTGGTCTTACAGCCTCGGGGACGGCAGTCCGTGAGTACCCGTTCCATCGGATATGCGCGTTTCGCTAATACACATCAGCGCTGGAAATATGTACTCATCCGTCGGCGATCTCTCAACTCTAGGTCGAGCAATTTTCAAGAACACGCTGCTCACCGGACCTCAAACAAGGCGTTGGCTCAAGCCGGTGGTCATGACGTCTGAGCTCGTAGCTGGAGTGGGCTATCCTTGGGGATTGAGACGCGTTCCTCTCGGGACCGGAAACGATGCTCATCGTGTTGTCGATACGTATAACAAGGCGGGCCGAGTTGGTTCGTACGCATCTCTCCTTGTCATGATACCGGACTACGACATGGGCATCACAGCACTCATTGCTGGGAACTCAATACCTGCAAATCACAATTGGAACATCGCTGACGCTGTTGGCGGGATTCTGTTACCGGCACTTGAAGCAGCAGCAAGGGAGCAGGCTCAATCTATGTACGGTGGGAAGTACGTCAGCGGGACAAGTAGCGTGAACAGCAGCCTGACATTGAGCACATCTTCTGACAAGCCCGGGCTGGGCATTGATACATGGATTAGCAACGGCACAGACATGAAGGCAGTTGCGACATATTACAATCTCCAGTACTTGCCTAACAATCCAAGTGTCCGACTCTACCCTACGGGATTGGAGACGAAGAATTCAGACGGCACGACCAAGATAGCATTCAAGGCCGCCTACGAGGATCTTGATGCACCGACAAGGTCGAACAGCATGTTCTCGACGGACTGTGGCACATGGGTCAGCCAAACGGCAGCTGTGTATGTCAATCTACCACTAGATCAATTTGTCTTCACCCTCGACAAGAGTGGCAGGGTAGTAAGTGTTGAGCCGTTAGCACTTAGAGTGTCGTTAAAGAAGACGACGTAGGCAATTGATGATTAATAAAGTGGGTTTTACTCATTCTTCTGTTCGCCTATATCCTGTGCCTCTGAAAGACTGCTCTATGGTATCTTTGATGCACAAGCCAATGAACCCGCTCGCATCTTGCTCGTGGTCCTTATCCATGTATTCTTTTTTGTACACCAGCCCTTCCAACGCCGGGATAATATGCAAATGCAGCCTCCCTCCATCGAAGACGGACTTCGCCCCTGATCACCTCATTGGTCCTTGCTGCTTCATCTGTAACCTCCTGAGACCCATGAACATGGACGCCGGGTCGAATTTCCTCGTCTTTGGGTTCCACCAGCCGACCACGTCGATGACGGCGTAAGCCCGAGGGCCTTCTAATTCCACCAAGCCACTAACCCTAATGGCACCGCGTGGAGGGAGGTCCCGCATGGGTCGCCATTTCTGTGCCAGCTTTCTCTTGAACGCAGCCCAAGGACCTGCGTAATGTGCCTGGAAACTCGAGTGGGGCACCAAGTCCTTCGCTGATGCGGGCTTGTCCGGGTCTGTGGGGATCTCGGGAGTTGTGGGAGAGGTAGCCTTCGAAGCGGCAGGGCCCAAGGGAGACGGCGATCTTGTAGAGCGATCTGCAGCTATGTTCGGTGTCGCCGTGCCGTCGGGTGTCTGATGGTTCGGCGCCGGCAGTACCCCTGACTCCTTGGATGCTTCGGGGCGAGGACGGGCTCCCAGCTGCTTGAGAGTTTTTTCGATAATCGCATTGGGATTTACTGGCAAGACGGGGGACTTAGGTTCATAGCCAAGCATCTTTGCTATTTCTGCTACATTTTGCTTGAACATTGTCCCGGCGAAAGAGAACATCGACGCGGCGACCGGGGAGGGGAACAAAATTCGCTGCGTTCGGAATACGGTGGCTGCATCGACTGGCTTCGTGACCCAGTCTATACCTTCGTCATTGATCTCGAGCCTAGGGACAGTTCAGCGTTGGTTCATAACGTCAAGGCAAGGCAGAGACACATACCCAGATCGCTCGAATGTTGGAGATGGTTTGTAGGGGTAATCGACGTCCATCCACCATCTCCTTACCGCCATGCGGTCACCCAGTCTATTCTTAAGTATGGGGTTTGCTTCTGCCACTGTGCGAGCAATGTTTGCTAGATCATCTGCGCAAGTTAACAAAAGCAAGAGCTTGTGTAACGATTCGCAAAAAGGTACATACTTCTGATTCTCATCTGTAGGTTCTGGTCCTTGTTCACTTTGATGAATGTTTGCCATTCCTCGTCGGACCCTCGGTACGGCAGCGACTCGACTTGTTTTGTGGTGAAGGGGAATGCAATAAAGATCGGCTCGGCTTCCTCAAGCTCCTTCTCGTCCATCTGGTCCATCTCATCCAGCTCCTTGTCGAGCCATTGCGCAACGGGTCCCAGCACCACGGTGGTGTAGATCTGGGCGGCGAATACGAGGGTGCCGAAGCCAATACCGAGCGATCTGTAGTGACCAAGTATTAGCTATCGAGCGGCTTCAAGTCAAGGAAAGCCGTGACCCAGCCATGACAGCCGCGTGACTCCATCTAGACACTTACCTCAACCTTGACCGAGGCTTTATCTTCACTCTGTGTAGCACTACTGTCTCGCCGGCTTTATTAATTTGTGAGGCCGCTTTCGCTGAGGCGAGCGGCGTCCTCGGCGACCGGAATATTGACCGAAGCATTCTGCCTGCTACCGCGGCACGCCTCGCAGGCGGCCAGATCTAGAAGGAAAAGTGACGATTCGAAATCGGATGCGCGGCGCAAGACAACGGTATAATGTTCGTAAGATTTTAGATTCGAAGATGAAGAAGCACCTAGAGCCTGCGCGGGCGAAGAAGAGGAGGAAAGGAACAGTCGAACGTCGCTGGAAAACGCTGGCAAGCGATGGGCTGAATTCACGATCTGGAGATTCTGCCGCCTTCAATCGTGGATTTCCAAGACGATCTAGAATCTCGAGGTGGTCTAGGCGCTACAGGCTCGCTTGCGTCAGGGAGCACGACACTGTGCACTGGGTGCTTAATGGGGTTCACATGCGCTACAACAACGGGCCGGTGACCGTTATAGCGCGTGCCAGAGCCTGAATGCGTTGTGATTACAGTGCGGAAAGGGCAGCCGCCATCGGCAGCCGGACTAATGCAGCTCCGGGTTACGTCTCCACCCTCCTCCCAAGCTCGCGGCAGCAGTCGGTGTCGTAGCTTTGGTCTAGCTGCCTCCCGCTGGATATAGGAATGTCCCTTGTAGGCAGCCCATCGATCTCATCAACCACCATCACCATCGACTTCATTGCGCCACCACCATGAGGCTTCTCACAGGGCTCGCCATTGCGGCCCTCAGCGGCCTTTCCGTGGCAGCATCCCAAGAGCCAGCTGAGGTCTACATCCTGACAGCCGACAGAGATAGCTTCGCTCAGACATCACCACCGCAAATACCGCGCCAGGTGGCTCGCGACATCCTCTTTCAGCGACTCCGCAGCGAATCCTCCTATAGTGACCTCCCGGATTCGACCGACGAAGAGACGTCTCTATCACATATCCTCAAATATGGAAGCAGCCCGGCGCCGTTGTTTGAGGAACAGCGACCTCCGAGGTCTCAGCTTGTCGTAATCTTAGAGGGCATCACATCAGAGAATGCCAAGTCATTGCGCCAACAAGTGTCAGACAGCAACTTCAAGCAGACATTCACTATTTCCGATCCCCCATCGGCCAGCGCAAACCGTCAGCTCGTCGATGTTGAGTTCAAGGCTGCTGGCATCGCCATGCCATGCGAGCCGTCATTCGCCATTAACCCTTTCGACATGACTTGCTGGACCACGAGGTCGCTCGTCGTCAAATATGACGCATTGAAAGTTGGTCAAAATTCTGCTCTAATTCGGCGTATGATTTCTAAAGCTAACGTAACCCAGGACTCAAGATACTTCTCCTCCTTCGTCGAGATGATTCCAGAACTAGTGAAAACTGTGGAGCGAGGCTACCTAGAAGCCACCCTGGTCCTGATGCCTGAGAGCAGCCGCAACTCGAAGCTATCGTACTGGACCTCGACCCCCCCGAGCCAACTCCAGCGCCGACAGTCTGGCGAATCTGTTCTTACCGAAGGCGATGTGGCAAAGCCGAAGACACAGGCGTCCAAAGCGGCAGGGAACGACAACGGTGCGTTCGCTTGGGCTACCGCCGACCCGAAGACCATTCCCGCATGCTTCCAGTCGTTCAACTCGTGCGCCACCGCAACAGGCAACTGCTCTGGCCACGGCGAGTGCACTGACAAGTATGCGATTCCCGGCCAGCCCACCGGTGCAGACGACGCCGTATGCTTCCGTTGCGAATGCAAGTCTACATACAAATACCCCGAGAAGGGCGAGAACAGCCCTCACGTCCACTGGGGCGGCAATATTTGCCAGAAGGTTGATGTCAGCTCGCCATTCTGGCTCATTGCCGGCTTGACGATTGTCCTGGTCGGAATTGTCAGCTTCTGTATCGGACTGCTGTTCAGCGTGGGTGAGGAGAAGCTGCCGGGTGTCATCGGAGCTGGTGTTTCAAGATCTAAATAGGCCAAGGGAAGATAAGTATTTGTTGCAAGAGTTTGATAGCAAGACAAAGATGATCTGCATAATGGACTTGGAGGTGTATCATATGGTGTATTGCTACATGGCGTCGGTATAGGCAGGACGTTCTCCTTAGAATCCAATGATAGCTTGTATTTACGAGCAGATTTATTCGGTAATTTAAGCCACTTGAATGTTTTAGCTCTTGAATGTATTAAGTGACCGTTTTGATCCAAGACCGTTGAATATAAAGACTAATGTACTGGGTATCTCATTATATTATTTAGTACATCTAGTCAATAACACTCTGCAGCCGATCAATGACACTAAGCGTCATTGTCGATGTCAGGTCGCGTGGTAGGCGTTGTGCCAAAGCTCTCTAAGCCCCTTTCCGTGGGCAAGTCATGCATGCCTGGTGGTCTGAGAGGTGACTGCGAAACCAGCTTCGCAGCATCGACTGTGCTCCCCATGACGGATTGATACTTGGCCCCGGCCTGATCTAGAATGTCTTGGACTTCCTTCTCTCGGGTGAGTATCTCCTCCTTCTCCTTTTCCAATAAGCCTATTCTTTTGCGTTTCTGCATGACTTGGTCTTCCATTCCCTGGACCAAATCCCTCATCTTTGCCAGACACTCGCCTAGATCAGGAAGCGGCTTCATCTTCGGTATTATGATCCCTGTGGACATATTCAGGTCATCGTACCCGCCATCTGTCCTATGCAAACCATCCATAGCCGCCCTTGTCTGCGCTTCTTCATATGCAGCCTTCCGCTCGGCGTCTGAATCGGAGTCATCCTCATCCGAATCAGCCTCAGCGGTGTTTATCAGCTCCGCCATCTCTTGTCTGTGCCGTTTCTTCGCCTCCCGTTCGGCCCTCTTGCCAAGAGACAAGCCCCCGTCTTCGACGAATTCATCGTAGCCCTCACCAAGATCCTCGTCTTCTGCTATGAGCCGCGTTTCTTCCTTCTTCTTGCGCGGTGCCAGGGAGATGTAACCACTCTCCTCGTCGTCTTCATCGTATGCGCCGCCCTCAACTGCCAAACGGGCTCGTCGCTCCTTTTTCTCGCGTATCTCTGCTTCAGAAGGGATGTGACCTAGGCTAGCAGCCGTTGGAAGCGCAATCTCGGTTGAAGGTACTACCAATGCGCCTTCGAGCTCCGAGGGATCGAGTTCCATCTCGTCATCTTGTATTCGTAGCGACGATAGGTTTTGCGGCGTGTTTGGCGTAGAGCTTTGGAGCTCGTCCAGATATTCCTTACTGTACCGAGGCCTTTCCTCCTCCCCGCCAAAGGTTCGCGAGGGCAGTATCCCTGACAATGACTTCCTGAAAGCATTGTTCTCGGCGGCTCGCTGTCCAAGGGTACTCTTCTTGGGCGTGAAGACCTCCACATCGCCCCCGCCATCACCAAGGCTTTCTCCTGGCCCAAACGATAATCGCGAGGACGATGACTTCTTCTTCAGCTTTGTAGATCCCGATCGTCCCAAAGAAGGTCGAATGACAACTGGCTCCCCGGCGTCTTCCTCGATCGCTGTGGCCGTCGTGGTGCTGCCGGCGATGTCATCGTCGTTGATGTTGATGCTCCTCCTCAATGAAGAGCTTTTAAATGATCTCTTTCCGAATTTTATAGAAGCAGGACTGAGCGAGGGGCCTGGACATGCAAATTAGCCTCCTTCTTCCAACCATCAGCAAGGGAAGTCAAGCACTGTCGCAGGGGTAAAAACTCACCATTTGAAGCTTCCTCCTCGACCGCTACAGGGGCGCCAACCTCCCCATCATCATCTGCCACCTGTATCTTGCGCGCCTTGCGCTTTGCAGCGAATGCGCTCATATTGTAGCTTACGACGGTTCGTAAGGTATTTGTTGGTATTGAATGTTTGCGCCTCTGATGCCTGCAACCAAATACTGTGAAAAGCTGTTATCTTATCGCACGTGACCTCGAAAATCTCCCACTCTCCCTCACCACAGGCCAGCCGCGTCGCAGAGCTTCGAGGTCCTCCAGGCTCAAGCATCTTCGAAACCAATCCTTAGACAAGATGGCGCCCGCTCAGCCAGAACTCAAGAAGGTATGGAACTTTCTCTTCCCTATTCAGCCTGCCAAAGCTCGTCGAATCCCTTTCCTTGACGTGTATGCATGCAGCGCAGAGTGCTAACGCGATGCTCCTAGTATCTCGACAAGAGACTGTTTGTCCAGCTAAACGGCAGTCGCAAGGTCATTGGCGTCCTTCGCGGCTACGATGTCAGTATTTATTGCCTTAAAGTATGCGACTTTGTTTTGCTGACCGCTTTTGCAGGTCTTCTTGAACATAGTCTTGGACGAGGCGGTTGAGGAGAAGGAGGGTGGAGAGAAGGCCAGGCTCGGCATGGTGGTATGTTGAATTGCATTGCCGTTGAATGGGATAGAGACGCTGATGAAAGTATTAGGTTATCCGTGGAAACTCAGTCGTTATGCTAGAGGCTCTCGAGAGAATCGGCGGTGACGATCGCGGACATCATCGATAAATCGACCTGTCGGTAGACTGGGAGTCATGGAAAAACGGAGAGTCCACTTGTAATGGCGTTTTGTTGTTTTGACGAAAAAGAGGATCTGGGATGCCCTGAGGCGCTGTCTAGAATACAAGGTCTTGAGATACCAAAAGCAAAGATACGAGCAGGCTATGCGTCTTGTCGCCAGTACTCCTCGTCATACCATTCCATCATGCGACCCTCGAATTTTCTCGCCCAACCTTTGACACCGCCGTTCATGACGACCGACTCGATTCCCTCACCGCCGACTTCGTGGATGTAGTCCTGCATCCAGCTGGCACATCTTGGCCCTCGCCCATTGGACGAACCTGTGGGGGTCAGTCGATCGAAAGTGTAATGTCATGGGAGTGGAGGGGCGACTTACGGCAGAAGAAAATGATGCGCTTGATGTTCGCTCGTTTGCAAAGCTCGTATATCATGCCCCGGGCGTGGAAGAAAGCGTGCGCGGGCACGTTAATTGATGTAGTGATCGCGCCTCCCTCCCAATCCCCTCGTCTTACATCGACGAGGAGGAAATCGCGTGTTATGTCCTTGCCAGGTTGAACGCCCTCCAACAATTGCATCACTTCATCCGCCTCAATATTGGCGGCCTGTGTGACTGGGAGTGGCCAAGCCTCCCACCATTGTTCACCCTCGCTCCAGTGCCGGCGCGATGCTGTGCTGTTGTCTACGACCACTGTAGAAGAGCCTGCCCCTAGAGCGAGCTCATCCTCCCCTCTGTCGTCGTATTGTGCTCCAGCGAGAAGCGCAAGAGACAGCAAACTGACGACATGCACCAATAGCCATTTCATTGTGAGCAGCACTCAGAAGTGTCGTGAGCAAGTGCTCGCTTTGGACGTACTAATTGCGCTATTATAATTTTAGACCCCTTAACCATGCAGGGGTTTCATGTCTACTGATGCAGCGACGCCGGGCAATGCATCGGTGGCTTACATTCGCTGACAACTAATATCACTGATTAGACTGACTTTTGTACGCTTGTATCAATTCTCCCGACTACTAGATCGGGCTATAAAATTACGCCTTATACTTCATATACTTCAATAATTCGCTTTGCTGTTGCATCCTCCATTTGGGGCCGAGATGCTTGACTAAAATCCTTGGTACAACCTAATGCAACAAAACTTCCCAATTACAGGTATCGACATGCAGTGTCAGGCTATGTGCAAATGGTCTCGTTGGTCAATGGAACTTTTCTCCCGCGTTAGATTTCGTCTAATATACCAGATATTAATTGCATTGAGTAACTCACGTTTTTATCCACATGCTGCGGAAGCATCCCCGTGCGATCACAAATTCTTCACTCGGACCTCTTTCACCTACACCATCTTCAAGCTCAATAAGTAAAGCCTTGGGTTAGATAGGAGAACATCCTAGTCAGCACAGCCGTAAGCCTCATAAGGAGTGCTATAAAGAGCCATACGAGTAAAGTCAGCCCGCGCCATCAACTCATTTCTGAATACTGAGAAGCGTGCTAGACCGTCCCCTTGTTATTGCATTTGAACGGCTTATTGAAATTGATATCTCACGGTCTTGCCTATTCGAATGCTAAAGCCAACCCTTCGGTATTGGCTACACTCCTAACTGACTGCTTCGACTCCATCCGCCTAACCAGGCTGCTGTAATTTGGGAACTTCTCTGCCATTGGAATCCCTATTTCCCGTCCCCAATACCAAAAGACCACAAGGTTGAAGTCTACGACAGTTTCATGGTCTCCCAGAGGGAAGGGTTTCCCTTTTAATCTGTTATCAATCGTCTGGAAACTCTCCTGCACCAAAGCTTGTCCCTTTTCTCTGATCCTGGGGTGACTTGCAGCGTCGTCTGTGAACTTGTAGGGTCGAAATGTCATCCTGAACGCCGTACTGTGCACGGTACCAGAGAGCCAAGCCATCCACTCCGCAGCTTTGGCTCGCTGGAAGGTGTCGTCTCCAAGAAGATTCCTCTCGGGTGCAAGCGAAGCAATATATGTGAGAACGGCGGGCATCTCCGTAATGACTTGGTCGTCCACTCCAAGGGCTGGGACCAAGCCGTTGGGATGGATTTTGAGATAATCGGCGTGCGTGAGGCTACCGTCTGCCGCCTCGAATCCTTCGGGTCCAGGCTTCATGACAACTGATTTGAAGGCAATGCTGAGGTCGGTGAGAAGACAATGAGGAATGAATGAACACATCTTGTCCACGCGATATAAAGTTAGGTGAGCCATTTTGCATCAAGGTTCCAAGCAATCAGCCCAATAGCAATATCTTTGAGATCATGAAACTCTGTGGATGCGTTCGACAAGTAAATCCAATTTTTAGCAATGCCAGTAATTTATGTTGTCGGTTGCTCCTCCGCAACGGCGGACCGCTGAGGCAGCAAGCTGTGAGAGCCATTTACAAGTTCGCGGTACAGCTCTAGCTTGAAATCGGCATCCCACTTTCAGGTGAGATCCCCATCCTACCGCGATGTAGCGCAGCGCTTATCAATTATTAGGTTGCTACAATTCAGTAGTCGACGCGATGAAGGACGGTGCTAATGATGCTAGTCTGTGGCGTAGCAACATCACGGTGATTCCCAAGAACGAGGGGGGATCTCATACCGGAGTCCAGGTACATAAAGATGTGTAATGTTCAACATTGAGTCGTTACACTGGAAATTCTCCTTCAATATCTGTTTGAGAGATATCGAAGCCGAAAATGGGATCCATGTTGAAGAACATGTCTGAAAACTGTTCTTCCCACTCGGAATTGGCTAATGGCTCCATTGAGCTGACTTGTTCGATTGTAGTTTGATTCAGTCCCGTTGCCGTGTTTAAAGGCTGTAATGTTACAGCTCCTGCATTATTGGAGTTCATGTCACCACTTGACATGTTGATAGACTGGTTGGTCGAGAGTACGTTGCTGCATGAACCATGCATGGATATATCGCGTTCCGCTGTGCGAGAGACTTCAGCCGTGAACTCGCGACCAACGCGGACATTAAGTCGTCGCACCAGCCCAAGAAGAATGCTCATAGACCTTCGTGGCGCATGGCACACGTTTTGATGCTCCGACAAAATCTCAAGACAGTTGAGGAGGCATCGATGTGCCTTTGATCCGGGAGACTTTTGTGCTGCGATGCGCACATGAATCGTTGCACTCACATACGTCGCATAAGACAAGAAGTAGGGAGGAGACTTCATGCACCATTGCTTCTTGTAACATCGAAGAAGCGTGTCAATCTCGTTAGCAGCAGTCTCGCAAATAGAAGAGGCGCTTCGGGAAGCAGAATCGGTCACTGATTTGAGATGACTTTCTGAGACGAATGGTCGGTGCAGTAGTATTTGAAATGCGTGAAACATCAATCTATCTCTCGAGTTAGTCAACCGGAGGATATGAAATGATCAGGAGAAACTATTACGTCAGACATAAGATGTGGGGAAGGACCACTCCGTCGCTTAAATTATCGGAATCGTCGTAGGTCTGGGTACTAACTCTGAGGTATATTGGCAGTGAAGCATACCATTGCGTAAGATCTGAATGTAGGGACTGCGACGTGCGAAGGAGCTCCACAGGGTCTCTCCCTGGGCTTTTCTCGGCATATAGGCTGCTGAGAATATGGTCTGAGATCATGCTGAGCTTGCAGAGTTGCTCAAAGGTCGATACGCTGTAAGTCGGATGACCTGAGGTGAAAGAGTCTGGTTCTCCTGAGGCTGAGTATCCAATCGTATCAAACGGCTCCAGTTCTTCGTATTCGTCCAAGAATGAGATCGGAACGCTACTATCTGTGTCTCGTAACCGAGGGGGTCGACCTTGATAGATTGATTGTATCTTATCCAAGACTAAACAAACTGGTCAGCAAGCCAGTGCCATTAATTAGAATAGGAGATGTTGCAGACCGAAAGCAGCCCAGAACACCCGTCGATATATTTCTACAACCTCCGGGTGTTCTGACTTCCTCGACATAATTCTAGAGCTTTCAGAATGGATGCCAAGATCAATTAGCATATTGCTCGCGATGCCCAAGTAGTGCCAAGAGAGGCTTCTCTCATCGCACCATGAGAACAGTGCATCCGAGAAGAGGAGAAGAGCCTGAATAGTTGTGATAACACTTTTGCATAACAGCTGGCCGCCATCGTCGTACAGGAGTCTCTCGATCTTGCGTCGATACTGTGCCCCATTATAACACGTTTCAGTAATGTCGCAAGAGCCTTTACCTTGTCCATTCGAGATATGTTTAGAAGAAATGAAATAAATTGCATTAAGCAATAGTTTGGAGAAGTAAGGGCCCTGAGTCGCCATATCCCTCATAAATGCTGGTCGGTAAACCACAGACCCAGTCGCATGTTGGCGATTCCAGAATGTCGCGAGAAGCGTCTTGGCCGTATTGGGATCACATCCGTCCAAGTCGATTTTGCCCGCGCGCATATTGACCAGCTCTAATTGGCCTAATCACCTGTTTAGCCATTGTATAAGATTGAGAGCGTTAGAACAGAAAGAAACACAAGAACATACGTTGCTTCGCTGCCTCGGCTAGTAGTTTAGTCTTCTGAGAAGAATTGATCACTGAGTGGGAGCAAATGGTCTTCTTTTCTGCCCTGGGTTCACCATCGAACATCGCGCTTGTTGGGCCATGGTACCTAGGTTCATGAGATCCGGGAGCTGAGTGTGTCTGGCTAGAAGCCAATATGTTAGGGTCTGCAACTAATGTATCTCCTGCTTCTATCATCGGTTGTGCTTCATAAGAGCCCTTTGTTGACGTTTCGATTTGCACCGCATCGCTCTGCACGATCGATTCCTGATTGACATCCTGGATGCGTAGTTGTCGGTCATCTAATGAAGATTGTAAGTCCTTGACGACCCTAGATAATCTGGCGACTTCGTCTTGTAGCTCATTGGTACGGGAAATAGATGGCCTAGTTATGAAATGAGTATATCTGTGACTGATGCTAAGGGTTGGAAGTAGTCCGATGCACCAACCTTTCCTTCCGGATCCGTACAGCATATGTGCAATCCTTT